CCGCAGGCGCAGCCGCAGGCACTCAGTGCAGAGCGTCAGGGGTCCCCTGTCGGCCCCCACCAGTCCTTGCTCCCAGGCGGCTCCAGGATTCAAGCCCAGTCAAGTGCGGGATCTCCGTGAAAAGTAAGCATTCAGTTGGAAAAGGGCGCAAAGATATGAGGGAGGGAGGCCGCAACTCCCCAGGTGCCTACCACCCCCACCCCTTACTCCCCTGCCTCTTCTCTACCATTAAAACACCACCCACATTCCCTCGGGACTACCCAGGGCAAGGTGGCCCTGGTGGCAAGCACAGATTTGTTCTTATAACCCCATGAACTCTAATTCACCCACTTGTGTTTTTATATCATTTAATATCAAAGTTAGCATCTGCTTTTAAAAGCTGTGCTTTATCTAATGGAAAAGAATCCAAAACACGAAGCTTTGGCCTGGAAATAAATGGTAGGCCACCACATAAATGTGAGAGTCTTGAGATACTCATGACAATACATTGTTGAGGCTAAGTGAAATAGCACAAATCTCTGAGTTTTAATCTATTCGTGCATAAATATAAAATATATAATTGTATATACATATAAAGTTTCAGTAAATACAAATGCCATCACTTAGTCAGTCATACAGCAAGCATTTTTATTAAGTGTCTGTTATAGGCCAGGACTGTTTGAAGCCAAGAAGAGATGTGATTGGAAAGAGGTGATCTCTGTCCATAGGAACCTCACATCTGGGCTGGGAGAAAGTAAGAATGAGGAAAGTTGATATAGGAAGAAATGGATAGACTGACCATTTCATGAGAAATTGTGCATATTAAAAATATAAAGTTTGACAAAAGCCAAGGGAATGCAGAAGTGGTTCCATAAAACACAGGTGCAGCAAAAGGATGGCCATGCTGCCATGGGGCCTGGGGCCAGTTCTGTCTTCCCGATGCTGTCAGTTTACTAGGATGATGGGGCTCTATGGACCAGTCCATGCCAACCTGGTCCCCTGGGCTGATACACTAATGCCAGTGCCCCTCTTCTTGCTACCCAGAGTGGAAGCCCTGCTCATTTCATTTGGGTGGAGCATTTTCCCCATCATGGAGATCCACCTGGAGCCAAAAGTAGGGCAGGAGGCTGCATGGTGGACAAGAACAAAACTCAGAATAAGTTGGGTGACCCTAAGAGAGTGATCAAGATATGTCTCTTCCTCTCCATGCCTAAGGAACCACCCACCCCCTTGGCTACGGAGAAGTGCCCTGAGTGGTCTGATATTCACAGAATCACTTAACCGATGAGCCAGCCCATGCCTTTGGGTGCCTTCTCTTGCAGGTGGAGGAGGGCATTGGTCTGGGAGTGATGTGCAAGACACTGTCCGTGTTGGCACCCTTCTCTACCATAGGCCTCTAGCTACAGGTTTTTCTGTTTCTGAGAGTCTGTGTACAACAAGCTCTATTTTAGTGAAAAGAATACCAGAACTTCTAAACAGATTGATGAAAAAGAACATCTACTGTGGACATTGCACTTTGTGATTAAGATCTTCAAGAAACTCAGGCAATGTTCAAAAGGCCCTTGAAGCTCTCTCTAGCTCTGCTTCTAGTTAGTTAACTTTTGAAAAATCAACGTGGAGAGAGTCGAAGAAAGTGTTCACAATGGGCTGAAATTAAACCCACCAAAGATGCTGAGGGTAAGAGGTAGGAGACCTTGTCAGCAGCACTTGGTGATCTTTTACTTGTGTAAACAGGACTTGTGTCATGTTTGTTCCTGTTCTGTTTCTTGCTGTTACACTTTTCAGAGGTCCCTATGTTGTGAGTTCAGGCAACAGTGCCCTGTGATAGGTAACGGCAGTGGAGTGGACCATCCTGGGCAGCGTTCCCAGTTTTGAGGCGCTGGGCTGGGTGGGATCTGGAACAGGGAGGCCACAGACGCTGCTCTCAGTGCTGCTGTCTCAGTCTTTTCGACAGGGATGCTTTTTCATTTTACTGAAATTATTACTTTCATGTACATTTTGTAGCATTTATTTGAGAAAAATACATTTTCTAGCTTGTAAAGGCAGATAAGTTTGTTTTTTTTAAATTTTGTTTTATTGCTTAAAGTATTACAAAGAGTATTACATATGTCTCCTTTATTTTTTCCCCCTTGACATTCCCCCAGCATCCCCTACCCCCCAGTGTCTTTTGTCCATCCCCAACCCTCCCCAGCCTTCCCGCTGTAGTTTGACAGTCTGTTCAATGCTGCTGTAGGCAGATAAGGTTTTACATGTTGATGATTACAATGTGGCTTCATCCATAAGGCCTGTTGGAAGGATTTTGCTTCATGGCCCCAAAACAACAGCACGATTTTGGCAGAGCTGGGAGTGGGATAGAGGGAAAGGGTGGCGAGAAGCAAAGTTGGAAAGGATCTCTGCATGCATAGCTTAGTCACCTGCTCAACATCTGTACCATTACCTTGGTACCAAGTAATCCATTGTGTTAGATTCCCTGTAGACCCCGAAAGACACAGAAGCATGCCTGACCTAGATTACTCTCCATCTACCTGAATGTTCTGGCCCGATGAACTGCTAACTTGTAGCAACATGTCCTCATACGCCACCCAGGAGGAATCTCAAGCAGGATTTTATATCTCTGTAACCCAGCCAATGCTGACATTTTTGAAAAGAAGATAAAAATGTTAGAGTCTAGAAAGAGATTCATGATGTCCTAAAATGTATATGTCAACCTGCCCTCAGATGGCCCTTCCACATCATGTAACCATTACATCATGTAACTCTCACAAGGACCCAGACAGGACAGGTGTCATCCTCACTCTACAAGTGAACAAGCAATCGGGGTTGGTGCCTTGAGACAAATCACAGGACTAGGTGGCTGAGCCATGGATTAAATCCAAGCTGTGGGTCTTTGCCTTTCAATGACTGAATTGGACAAAACCACTTCCCAACTAACCATTCTTAACATAGTCATTGAGTGAGATTTACCCTTCTGATTTTTTAGAGAGGGTATTTGATTTATATGTCATACTGGTGTGTTCCTATTGAGGATAATAAAACTTCAAAGAGAGTTGAAAAGGAGAAAATCTCCAAGTCTCCTTATAGACTTAGGCCTGCTAGGCTATGTGTGCTGTAATCTTAAGGGCTGATAAAACTCAAAATTCATATTGCTTTGTTTTGGTTTCTGAAGAAATAGAGACTAAACCTCATCAAACACTTCCCAAATAAGATATGAGTTTATTGGTCATCTGTCACCTAAAAGTACCTTCGTGATTGTGTTTCATCTTTGTACTTAAACTTGGGGAGAAAAAATGTCGGTACTTTTCATTTTTTCCCCAAGAAAATTTATTTGTAGCATCTAATTAGCAAAAGAATGAGAGTCTTTGGTTTAAATGTAATAGTATATAATCATAGGACTAACAAGTCTTCAAGGTTGTCTGGCCCTGAGCGGGGCCCTCTCTGTGCACTCCAGGCTCAGGCTCTCTCCTTCCCCGGGGCACCCTGTTCTATTCGGGATTTTTCTGCTTGTTAGGACAGTCATCTGACCTCAATTTGCTCCATAATGTTATAGCTCTATTACTGCTTAGCATTCTATTATATGGATAAAATTTCCCCATAACATTTTCTTGTTCATCCTGGTTCTTACCTCTGTCAGCAAATACCAGGTCTTGGGCCTGCTCTATATGTCATTCTTTCTGATCACGAGCATTGCATGGGACTTAGTATGTGCACTTTCCATTTCATCCTGTTGATTTCCACACAACATTCCAACCCGTAGAGGTAATGTCGAACTTCCTTCAGTCACTGATGTTAGTAGTTGTGCCATCCAGCTGTCAGGCTTGTATGTATTTTAGTACACATGGCGCAGAAACCTGGCAGGTTATAGATGATGGCAGCTGATTGGGAGTGGATGGTACAGACTACTGCCACATGCCTCAACGGCAAGGGTAGCACACTCCCTCTGTCAAGGGGCAGATGGTAAATATGTTAGACTTTGGGTTGCGACTACTCAACTGAATTCTACCTTTGTAAAAGCAGCTGCCATCAACAGGTAAGCAAGTGAGCATGACTGCATTCTAGCGAAACTTTATTTATGGGCGCTGAGATTGGAACGTTACGTGGCATGAAATATTCTTTTAAATCCCTCACCCCCCAACCATTTCAAAATGTGAAAACCATTCTTAGCTGCTAGACTGTATAAAAGCAGGTGGTAGGCCAGATTGGGCCTACAGTGTAGCTTGCCAATCCCTGTCCTGGCTTATTGAGGGAAGTTGGGAGGGAAATGGCCTGGAATCGGCAAAGAGGAGTATGTGGGGTCTGAGAGAAGAACCCACCATGCTATGGAGAGGTCTGTAGAGAACAGCATCCTTAAGTTCAGTGTTAGAACAAGGAGTGAAGAGATCCTGGCTATAAGGGATTTGGCTGATGGTTGCTCATGAGTTTCCACAGCACAGTGGAATATTGAGGTAGGTACTATTATTATCTCCATGTGATAGGAGGGGAAACTGAGGCATGAAGAGTTGAAGTGTCTTGTCCAGAATCCCACAGCTAATATAGGGTGGAGCTGACTTTAGAGTTCAGGAGGTCTGGCTTCGTAGTTCCCATCCTTCACGATTTTATTAAACAATCCCCTCTTTCCCCCTGTGAATCTGTAGGTATAAAACAAATTTACTGTGTACTTGGCATTAGTAATTCATAAATGCATGTTGCCATCTTTTTATATTATTAAGTTTAGATTTTTCATGTCAGTACGTTAAAAAAAGCATTGCTTCGTGTTCCATTGTATGGAAATACCTTCATTCATTTTGCTATGGCTTGATTTCTGTAGTACCAAACTTGCTGTGATACACACACACACACACACACACACACACACACACACACACGTTTGTGCACATGTTAGCATTCTTTTTTGAGAGATTTTTACAAGTAGAATTCTAGATCAAGGACACAGACATTTTAAGTATTGAAATTACCACGTTGCTCTCTGTAACGGCTAATCCAGTTAGCCCTTCCACCATCCACATGTGACCACTCCCCACACCATCACCAGCACTGGATGGTACAAGTTTTCGGAAGTTTTGTGATTCTGAAAAGTGCAGTGTGCCTTGGCATTGCCATTTGCATTTTTGATTACTGCTGAGGTTGTTCATCTTCACTTAGTTCAT